CGGGGTGACCTCATTGCAGCCTATCAATACCTGAAGGGAACCTACACCCAGGAGGGCTGACAACAGCAGGACTAGGGGAAATGGATCAAAGTTGAAGGAGGAAAGATTTAGGTTGGATGTTAGGGGGAAGTTCTTCACAAGGAGAGTAGTTAGGCCCTGGAACGGGCTGCCCAGGGAGGTTGTGGATGCCCCGTCCTTGGACGTGTTCAAGGCCAGGTTGGACGGGGTCCTGGGCAACCTGATCTGAATGTGTACGTTTGGTGGCCCTGCTAGGCAGGGGGGTTGGAACTACATGATCCTTGAGGTCCCTTCCAACCCAGGTGATTCTGTGATTCTGTGATTCTGTGAAGCGAGTTGCTCGGAGAGGCTGTGGAGTCTCTTCCCTGGAGATTTTCAGAAGCTGCCTGCATGTGGTCCTGGGCACCCTTCTGTGGGTATCCCTGCTTCAGCCCTTTACTCTTTGGGGAAAAAAATGCAATAAAGGATAGGTTTAGTTATGGCTGGGCCTTTCCTTTAAAGTAACATTTCTGTGGAGTCTTTAAACAATTTGTCTCAGTGTCATTCTTTCAGGATCTCAATTGTTGGGGTACTCTGCCTTACAGTGTATGAAAACTTTTTCTTTAAAGAGACTTGTTAAGAGGTTTAATGTAAACATTTATTAGTATACAGGAATTGCTTTCCTTTCCTGGCTTTAGTAATTGAAGGGTTAGTAAACCTTCAGGTAACACAATTTCTTGTTCATTTACGCATTAACCTGATAAATAAGTAGAGATGTTGATACATGCATCTATCCTTTTATGTAAGCTGTACATTTATATTGAGAGATGTGTGTAAACTGCAATATTTTGTATACCTATATAAATTGATATTGAAATTAGTGCTTTTCATGCATCTATTTTATTTAAAGGAATCAGTGTTCGAGTATACAGTGCTGCAGTTTATGAAATAAACTGTATGTCACTACTTTTTCATGCTTTTTAGAAATGCATTATTGCATTTGAAATGTGTAATAGACTTAGCAAAGGTACCTGACTACATCTTTAGTGAAATGTAACTGTATCTAGGCAACCAAATTGGACAGGAAGTTTCTACAATCATTGCTCTGAACTGATTGCTTTTAAAGAAGTCGTCAATATACTGTAATGTAAATTCCAGTTCTAACATGGGGAAGGAAGCACCAGCATGAAAATCTCAGCCCACCTTGCAGCAGAGGACTCATGGACCTCTTCCATGAAGGCAGGTCGAGGAGAATTGGGCATGTTCAGTCTGGAAAAGAGGAGGTATGATCTCATTGTGGCCTTCCAGTACTGGAAGGGAGCTTATAAACAAAAGTGGGACTGTCTTTTTATGTGTGCAAATAGTGGTAGGATAAGGGGGAATGGTTTTAAACTAAATGAAAGATTTGAATTAGATGTGAAGTGGAAACTTTTTTACTCAGTGGGTGATGAGATTTGTCCGGTGAAGTTGTGTATGCCTCATTCCTGGAGATGTTCAAGGCCAGGCTGGATGGGGCCCTGGGCTGCCTGATGTAGAGTGGCAACCCTGTCCCACAACAGGAGAGTTGGAACTCAGTGATCTTTAAGGTCCCTTCCAATCCAAACAATTCTGTCATTCTATGAACTTCATATGGCCTGTTTTTTGAAAGGATTGAATGTGCAGCTTGGAATCAAGTGGCAATCTGTATCACTTCTTTCATGAAGTTTTTAAAGTAATTTCTCTCATACATCTGTCTGCCTATCTTTTTCTCTTACGTGGTTGAAGCTGATGTAATACATAACAACTCATGTTATGAGCTAAACAGATTACAATGGTAAGGAAATATTTTCCAAGAATAAGAATCTTGCCTGCTTTGTAAATACATGTTGGAATGCCAGAAATAAGTAGTATCCATTGTTTAATAGTGTAGTGACATAAATAGTTACTTGGCTATGGGAACTATTGTGTTCCTAAAAGGACAGAGCTGTTGCCACATCTGGCTGAATGATTTTGCACTCTCCCTGGTACTTTAATATGTTTAAGTCAGTTTTGTGCTGGTTTAATAGTCAAATTAGCTATCCTGTTTTGACTTTGTTTTGCTGCTAGAGTGGTCAGTCTTAACTGATATTTTTTAATGGTCTGGTCAGCACCTGAGTAACTGCATAGTGAGCAGCAGAGATATGTGCCTGATGCACATGGATTGCTAGAAGTGAGCAGCAGCAGATGGAAGGTAAATGGATGCTGAATGAGATGTTTCAGTTTCTGCATTTCTCTGTTAGAATTTACTATAGGATTGGAGTAGCAATAATGTTGTTTGCCTGCAAAATCCAATTGGTAGAGTTGTTAAACTTATTCAAAACTCATTATTTTAGAATACTGCTATTGTAGGAAAGACTTTTCAGATAAGAGCACTTAATTGGAGAAAGGAGGTGTGAGCTTTGGTTTCATTCCAAGTACAAGGAGAGTCAAACGTGTTTCCGTATTCTTCTGAATGCAATTTTAACGTATAGGTTACACTCTCAAGTGGGAAAAATTCTTTATCTGGTGCTTTGTGAAGAATGCCATATGGTAGTGAGAAAAAGATAATGACCAGCTCAGTGTCCGAACAATAGAGTGCTCAGAAGAGTAGAGATGTTAGTTTCAGTTACCAGTACTGTAATATGGGAACAAAATGAGTAGAGTATTAGAATGAAGTTTTAAAATTTGCTGTGATTGAAGGTGAATGGCTTGCAGTAACAGAATTGAGAACAAACGAGACAATTGTCTCAATTAATTGTAGGTTCTGTTCAGTTAAATATCATTTTGAATTCTCATTGATTTCTCAATCTACCATGATGTGTGGTACAAGAGGACCGAAAGTAAGCTGCCTAGTCTCATTTAAGTGCTGCCTGTATTCTTGGTGTTTTAAATATTTCTTGAAGCATTTTGAAAATGGATTTATCAGCTCTGTGCTGCTTCAGTTACTAAGCCTTAACAAATCCAGTAAACTATTATATACCTTCTGAAGCTCTTAATGACATTGACAGGGATTCCTTCTAATATGCTTTAGTGCCTCAGTGTTTGCTAGCAAAGGTTGTCGTTTAATTCCTAGATGAGAGGCTATCTAGATTATTTCCTACCTGCTGTTCTGGAACATAGTGCCTTTTGGTGTTAGATCAAACCATGACAACATACTTGTTTGTTTTTTCTGGTCTTGTTGGGTGTGACTGCCTGTTTGAATGGATTGAAATCTAATAAACCTTAAAACTTTAACACTTTAATTTGAAACCAACTATTTATCTCAAAGTCTATTTAAAAAGAAATTGATTCAATGCTATTAAACACAGATAATTGTGTCTACCTGTAGGAAGCTTTGTGGGAAGAATACATGTGTGTACAACAGAGTGTGATTGAATATGCACTCAAGTTTTCTTCTTTCAATTAAAATAAAAAATATGAGTTCTAAAAATAATTCTTTTTCAAAAAGATCAGTTTGGGTAGCAAGACCCTTTTTGTTCAGCATTTCAGGCTGTATCAGCTTGTAAATCTGCACACTTCTGATGGAGGTAGAGCCCTTCTTAAAGTATATGTATTTTGACTGCCCACATGCTTATTCTTGTTTTTCTGGAGCTCACAGTCCTCATGCTATACAAGGTGAGAAACACTAGGCGTGCTAGACGTGGGTGAAGACTAAATTTGTGTGAACCAAGGTTTATTGCACTGGTTTTACAATATGGACTAACTTCAGTATAACTGCATTTGTCCTTGTATAAACTTCAATGATACCCATTTATCTTATTTGCAAGTGATACTTTGGTATCACATGACAAGTAGAGCTTTAGAAAACTAAACAAAAAAACAGTTAAGATTTACATGAGGTCTTATGTTTTGAGAGGAATGCATCCACCTTGCTTTCTGATTTTTCCCAATTTTTTGTATAGTTACAGAGTAAGTGCGGTAGAGGATAGAACAGTATTGTTGTTCGGAATTGCGAGGAGCATGAAGTGAAAATATGCTGTGAATTTTAAGTTACTTTGTTGTATGTTTTTACCAGAATGGTGTGCATAGTGTCTGCCTCTACTGCAGCTATGAATTTTTTGTGAAGTTTCTTTGTTTGTGATTACTGGTGGTATCCTTATCTCTGTGCTGTCTCAGTTACTGAACTTGCCATCTTCTCACAACATATCTATTATTCAAAGAACAGTAAAAGGCTATGAAGGCCACCATGCTGTCAAGAGAAAAAAGACAACTTGAAGTTCTAGGTATTTAATTATACATGTTAGGTATGTTGTGTACTGTTGGCAGAGATTGATGGTAGCTGTTGTAAACGTTGTAAGACCAAAGGGGGTGATTATTTCTGGTGGACTGTATAGCATTTATCTGCATGGTTACATATAATGTCCTCTCAGACTTGTTCTCTAGGAGGTCTTTACTCGTATCCTTTCATAGTGTGACTTTGAATTATGCAGTGATTATTGTTTCTGAGCATTCTACATGAATACTTATCTTAGAAGAGGATAACTACTTTTACTTGTGCTTTTTAGCTAACATATTGAAGTTTTAGTTTTGAGGAGTAGGTCAATTATTTACTGTTCTGTTAGAAACACCAACAGATTTCTGGACTTGGAATTTTTGCAAGAGTCCCAAAATTTTCAGAGGCTCACCTCTGATTCATTTAAGTAATCAGCTGCTAAACTTATTGAGACACACTGTTGGGTGCTTTGACATTCAGTAATCATGCATGATGTTTTTTAATAGCCCTGATTGTCATCTGTAAGCATGCATCTATTCCCCTAATTTTTGACATAATTAAAGTTTATTTCAAAAATTTTAGCCTCAAGTTTGTCGTGGTCCTTGTGTGCTGGTCACCTCGTACTTTTTGTGTGAAGTCTTGCATATGTATTAATTGAAGAAAATCTTCAGAATTAAAAGTATGGTAACACTGTCCCTTGTCTTGTAATGCAGTGGTTCTACTTTCTTTCAAGAGATGTCTTGTACGCTCTTAACAGAAATCTTCCTTAAAAGTAGCTTCAATTCTAATTTCAGTGTTTCTGAAACATGCCTGAGATTGTGCCAGGGCTCTCTTTGGGATGATTGGTCCACAGTGTGATTACAGTAAAGGTGATGCAGATGATGTTAGAAGTAGCTGTACAGCCATTGATTTGAAGCAGTTGAGGAAGGTGGATGTAAAAGTAGTTTCGAAGAGTTAGCTGTACTTTATCTTCAAAAGCTACACACGTAACTGAAGTTGTCTGCTAGATTACCTTTCTTACCACATCCATCAAATTGTAAGAATAAAGATTGTTTCATAACATCTTTGTCATAATAAGATTTTAAACACTATTAGAGAATTTGAAATAACTGGAAACTCAATTTGTACTTCTAAAGATAAATGGAAACATGAACATGAATGGGAAGTTACCTTAAAATCTGCACAGTAGAATGTTTTATGCACATTTACTACAAACAGCATTCTTTAAAGAGTTCCAGAGGTTATAGTGAATATAAAAATTCACATTCTTTGCTACTTCAGTACTAAATTAATAAATATGGTTTTAATAACAACTTTATATTTTTACATTAGTAATAACTTTAAGTCTTTTATGTAGGCTAAGTTTATAGTCTTTGGTTGTATAGACCTGGCTAAGCACACAGGATGCTAATTTGAGTTACTCTGCAGTTGCTTATTTAAAAACATTTTATTAAAAATAGTGTTTAGCTGTCTACCATTGATTTCAAAAATCTGGTAAGGGTGATACTGAAGGCTTGGGAAAAAAATAGTGGCTTAAAATTAGTTCTTAACAGAGATGGTGAATTATAGGTTTGCTTAATGCAGTTGCTCTAGAAATAAACCAGCATGTGGCTGCTGTAACTTTGAGAATTATCTCAGTTCTTTCATCTGAGTCAGTGTCACAATTTTAGAATCTGTCATTCTTGTGGTTTCAGCGAATGATGTAATCTGGGATTTATACTCCATTACTGCATGTTGAAGTTACTGAAATGTTTCCTTCCAGACAACAGTAACCGCAGCTTCTTTTTTAAGTCATTCAGAATTTTCTGACAAATTCTGCGAGTTGTAGAAATTCCAAAACTAATATCACTAAATGTATAATGAGTATTCTTGTAGGAGAAAACTTCTGCTGGACTATATGAAAACATTTGGGATGGGGGAGAAAGGAACATAAAAAGTCAGCAGTAGTAGCTGCCATAGAATTAAGAGGAAAGCAAGATGGTAGTAGATAGGAAGTATAACTGCCATGAGGTTTTGAAAAGACAGCACAAGACAAAAAAGAAAACTTTGTAGGGAAAATATTCTTTCGTAGAGGCTGGTGCTGAAGAATATTCCATTTGGTGGTCATCCTGGGTGGGTGGCAAAAGGTTTTCACTGTGGATTTTTTGTACTACTGTGGATGTGTTTGTGAGTATGGTAACAATGATTAATAACTTGAATAATAGCTAAAATAAGTCTCATTTCTGGTAATGTGTCATGAGGTAATAAATGTAAGGAGGTTATATTTGCAAGCTGTTTTATGAGCCCTGCTGCATTTGTAAGAGTTGACTGGCCCCATCGCAGAGACAGCACTTTGCTTGTGCTGTCTGTCCTCAGTGATAGCTGACGGCCAGGCACCATTCGTCTGGTCCTCCAACCAGAAAATGCCAACATCTGACAGGAGACTGAGTTGGAGAGTTGTGGGGAGAGGGTTTTCAAGAGATGAATCCAGCAATTTATTATTAAAATGTAAATGTTGCCTGCTTCATCTATCTATCTATCTATCTATCTATCTGTCTATCTATCTATCTATCTATCTGTCTATCAAGTTGATCTGGTACAAATCTGCTTTGCAGTCTGAAAAGCAGCCAGTTTTGTATTAATTACTCTTGTCTATATTTGTTTGACCTCTTCTCTGGCACCATACAAGACTATTTCATTTGTCTGTAGGTTCTGTTCCTTTTGACAATGATCTGATGGTTCAAAGCCATTCCTGTTCTACTCTTCAGCTTTTATGTAACTCTTCAACTAGTTCTTTGCCCCAGATTTAGACTACAATTATTTCTGTGATAGTATTGCCAGAAATGTCTTTGCACAATTAGAAATTGTTGTACATAACAGTTGGTTTCCTCCAAAGAGGGATGCTATGTATGTGAAATTGCGAAGTTGTTTGGACTGCTTCTTATTTGATGTGTGAGTAGTTTATTCAGTAAGCAATTATTGAGTCTTTCACAAATTAGAAATGTTATACCTATTAAGGTATAAGAATGTACAAGCAGCAGTTTTTGTGCTTGGTTTCATAGAACACTTGCTGGTGAAATCTGTTGTTCTGGAGTGCTTGCTATGTAGGCAGCATGTGGGATAGTAAATTGTGAGACTAATTTAAAGTAAGATTTTTGATGGCATTTTTTCAAATTATGGAAAATCTTATTTTAATTGGTTTTGGACGTGGACCTGCTTCATTTGAAAAGTAAATGAAAGCAGCTTGCAGAACCAAACATTGTTTTAGCTCTTGCTTGTATGTATTTGAACTTTGATACCCCTACTCAGTTTCTTCGAAGTACCATACATGCAATTGATCTGTTAAGTACTTGGAGTTTTTTGAAGACATTTGGACATGAAGAAGCAACAAGTTGTCTCTCTGTTTCCAAATTTGAAAGTTGTCTTCAAAGAAAAACATCAGTATAGTTCAGTGTTTCTTACTAAGTTACAGTTTGTGCCATGAAGGATGTAACAGGGTTAGTTTTGTGCCTGAACTGAGTTAACTGAATTCCCGGAGTGCTGTCATACATAACTCATGCTGGATTAAACTAAGTAACTTCTTTGGATTCCACTAATAGCTGTCAAAGTGTTGAGATGTGAAGATAAAGCCTAATTACTGTGAGAGAGAGGACTTGTCACATTTTTGTACAGTCAGTAGGGGAAACCTAGTTCTTCTGTCTCCTTGTTAAGTTGTGCTGAATAAATTGGACATCTTTTGTTTTCAAACTTTGTTGGTTTGCAGAATGAAGCATAAGGATCTACCTTTCTGGCAAGCAGGTATAATAAGAGTATTAGACTTAGGTGATGTTACACTGAATTATATCAATGAAAGTTTTTAAGAAGATGCAGTGCTTTAAATGATATTTTCATCAGATATGTTGTCCTCTGATTTTTCTCAATAGGGAGCTTCTGTGGTATCACAGAGGGCACCAAGTGCCAAGAGAGATGAAAATACTCATAAGTTATTCAAGCCTTATTCTACTGAAGTGCAGATGACTTAATAGTTAACTAAGTTTCATTTAAAACTAAGCAGTCAAAAAATCTCTACCATTCTTTCAAATCTGGAACTGGTACTCTGCTACTTTTCTGGTTAGAGCAACTCTGCCATCTCTTTTTTTATTGTCATTATTCCATTTTTTAATTGCTCATATTTATTTTTATATTACTGTCTGAGACAGTAAGGCTCTCAGCATTTATTGGCAGTAGTGAAATTGCAATCAAATATCACACTGATGTAGTACCAGAAATAATAATTAGTATTCTTTACTAAATGATAGAGGAATATACATATAAGACTGTCTAAATTTGGACAGTATTTGGTTGTGGCAGTATGGCTATCTTTGACATGTTTTATGTATCTCCCACATGAAATATTTAATGCTGCTTGCTCCTGAGTAATATTTTCTAATACAGTTCTCATTTTGCTGTTAAAGAACTTATTCACACTGGTGCAAAGGAAAGGACACTTTTTTTTAATCAGTGCAGCTTTGCATCTATAAGAAAACCTGGCTGAGCTCTGCATTCTGGAATGCAAAAATTGTCAATTTCTGTTCAGTGTGGGACAGTGAGTAAGGTGTCATTTTCAGACTTATTTTGAAGTATTATTATCAAGCTGCAGACAATTTAGTATGAAGTAAAAGCAGATATAAAAAAACAAACAAACAAAAAAAAACCATCAAAACACTCTTCCCAGTAAAAAGAACAGAAAAATAAAGGAAACAGCAGCAGCAAAGAAAAAACTGTTTCTATTTTGCAGTTGACAAGGTAGGTAAAATAGGAGACTGCATCTTCCAGAAGCTCATAGTTAATGCTACGTACACTGCAATGAATTGCTTGGGTTTTTTTGTACGTGTTTTGAATGTTTATGGTTGTGTTACTAAAAGAACTTTTATGAGAATTCTAGGTGTTTGATGTGATTTAGTACTAACACGTAGTGGAAGATGGACACTCAACTCAGGAAAAACTGAGTCAGTTATATATTACATAATAAATAATTATGATCTAATAACCAGACCTGACACTGACCCGTTCTGTTAATCAAACATGTTAAATGTTTAAACAGAAAGTGCTTCACAAGGTGATGTAATTACCTCTGTCTCTAGAAAGGTGATGGAACAGCTTGTTCTGGATATCCTTTCCAAGCAATTGGAATGGAAGTTTGTCAGGAGTAATCAACGTGGATTCACCAAGGGGAGATCATGCTGGACCAACCTGGTAGCCTTCTATGGCTGGTGGGGGGAGAGCAATGGATATTCTGTACCTTGCTTTAGCAAAGCATTTGACACAGTGTCTCCACAACATCCTTGTTAGGAAACTTAGAAAGTGTGGGACAGATGGATGGATGGTAGGTGGATTGAGAACTGGCTGACTGGCAGAGCTCAGAGTTGCCATCAGCGGCGCTGTCTGGTTGGTGACCTGTAACTAGCAGTGTTCCCAGGGGTCAATGCTGGATCTGGTCTTGTTCAATATCTTCATCACTTCTGTGGCAGCTCAGAATCTGAGGGCTATTGCTGCTCGGTATATTGTATGTTTATCAAAACCATGCCTTTTACTTGGACATCAGGAGAGAGCATAAACCAGTCTTAGGCCAAAGTTGGCAGTTGCTTTGTTCCATAGCAGTGTAACTGTACAGTGCAGGAGCTTCTGTTGGTGATAAGTCGTGCTGTGTATTGGAGGAAAGGAAATCTATCACATCAGTTGTGGTGCTGGGGAGGCTGTGGGACAACTCTTATCTGACAAATAGTTCAGAGCTGGATTCAGCCTACTATGATGTTACATATTTCATTTAACCTACTAGGCAGAAATGGCCTCCAGTTGCGTCAAGGTAGTTTTAGGAAACACTTATTTACAGAAAGAGTGGTTAAACATTGGAATGGGCTCCCCAGGGAGGTGGTTGAGTCTGCGTCCCTGGATGTGTTTAAGAGCCGTTTGGATGTGGTACTCGGAGATATGATTTAGCAGAGGGTTGTTAGAGTTAGGGTACTATGGTTAGGATGCGGTTGGACTTGATGATCCTTGAGGTCCCTTCCAACCTGAGTAATTCTATGATTCTATGATTCCAAATGGATTCATTACACAGTAGTGAAAGTACAAAATATTTTATTAGTCTTCTATTTAAGGTGGAACACACCTCTAGAAGTCATCAGTTTCAGTCCTTGGCTCAAAATCGAGCGAGCATCAAAATTATGTAAGATTGCTCAGAGCCTTATCCCATTGCATCTTGAAGATCTGCAAGACTTAAGTTTCTACTTCCTGTACAGACACTGTGTTCCAGTCCTTAACAACTTCCCCTGGGATAGTCCCATTTTCACAACACCCTATCCACATCTCTAGAGTAACATATGCTCTTCCTATTTGCTACATGTCTTTTTGTTGTTGAGAAGTTTGGTTCTGTATTCAGCTGTCTTAAGTTGCTTTATGGAGAAGAAAGCAATTACATCCCTCCAGCAGTCTTTTCAAGATTAAATAGTCCTCTTCTTGTAGCTTACCCTTTAGTGCCATACAAACCAGTTCCTTATTCATGTAAGTGGCATGCTACTGTTTCTGTCTTGCTAATTTCATTTTTGGAATGCTGAGGGGAAGAACACAAGGTGCTGAGATACAGCCTCATGAATACATACAGCTCAGTTGTCTAACTTCTTGAGGATCCTTTGAACAAGCAAACACCTTTGCTCTTCCAACACTTAGACTGCTTCCTAGCCTCTAGAACTGATATTGCCTTAATTTAATGACTTAATGCAGATGTATTCCATCCTGATGTTCAGGTCAACAATGAAGATGTTAAATAGTGTTAAACAAATATTGGCTTCTGAAGATTACCTCTTGTAACTAGCTTGCATCTATCCTTACATTTAGATGGACCATCTAGACGATGTTTTAGACATCTTGAAATCATTCTTTATTCAATGTGGTACAAAGAATACTACAATGATATTGAAGACCTTGCTGGAGGCACAGTAAATTACATAATTGTTGTTCTACATCCACAGAGCCAGCTGTTTCCACATTAAAGCATTACCAAGTAACTCAGAGTTGGTAAATCCTTCCTTGTTTTTGCCAGTCACATTCTTGTCCTTCAAGGACCTGGAAATCGCTCCCAGGAATATTTGCTCTATCAATTAGTCTGAGGAACAAAGTGAAGCTGGCAGCCCCCCCCCTCCCTTTTTTTTTTTTTTTTTAGTATGCTTTTAGGCAGTCTTTATGCTTTTAGAAACGCCATCAGGTTGTCTGAAGTTTATTGCTCTCATGCACAAAAAGAACAGCTTTGCAGGGTTGAGTGATTTCTTGTCAAAATACCTCAATTTTGAAACTTAGCTAGAAGCATTTAGGTCTTTATGTTAAAAATAATTTGTAATGTGTTTGGAACAATTGAAGTTCTTTGTATTGGTTAGGTATTTGAAGTGTAGAAACAAAAATTGCATGTGTTCTCAAAGATGAGCAAAAATGTAATGAATTTCCATTTATTTTTCAGGAGCTGGTGAATCAGGGAAAAGCACAATTGTCAAACAAATGAAGTAAGTATAGTAAAATACAATCATAGAGATTTTTTTAATTTGAATAGAGAATTTATTTTTTTTTCCTTCCGTAGGATTATCCATGAAGCCGGTTATTCAGAAGAAGAATGTAAACAGTACAAAGCTGTTGTCTACAGTAACACCATTCAGTCAATTATTGCTATCATTAGAGCAATGGGGAGGTTGAAGATAGACTTCGGTGATCCAACCAGGGCTGTGAGTATTGAAGTAAACATGCACATGTACAGCTGAAATATCCATTCTATTTCAATTTCTGTCCATTGTTACTTCCTGGAAAATCTCTTCATATCCAACAGGCCTTGTAAGCTAGGTTTGATAAAGAAGAAATTTCGTTTAGTTTCCTACGTGAAGTAGAAGTGCTCTATTGAGCAATTAACTCTGGGTTGTATTTTGTTTAGATACAGTCCTCCAAATTCTATGTAAATCTGAATCTTAGGGATTTTTTGAACAATAGTAAGCTTTGTAGTCGTACTTCTTAATTTTTACTTGTGGGCTGCTATAAGTCCTTCAAGATGGACATCTTTGCTTTCCTTAACAAAACACAGATTAAACAGGTACGCATGTAGCTGTTCTCTGCACTTCAGAATTGCGTCACAGACACAGTAGTGCCTAAAACGTTCTCACCTGTGGTTTCATACTGACTACTAGTGCGGATGACTTTACTGTACTCTAAGGCACAGGCATTGTGCTGCTGCTGGTGCTCAGTTTTTTTCATTATAGCACATGAATTAAGGATTTTTCCCAAAAAAATAGTTACCTATTTCCAGGGTTTCTTGTACAGTTTTCATCTCTTTTCATCCATTTATTGGAGGCGGTCTGCAGAACTTTTTGCTTATCACTTCACAGTTCCAAACCCTGTATTCTTATTGGTGGTGAACCTGATTGTGTCCCTATCAGATCAGGAGGATAGATGCTGTTTGTAAAATGTAGATATGTTTATGTACATATGTTAATTCTGTCTGAAATCTGCTTAATTTTAAATCAACTATGTAGATCACTCTGAAAGTAATGCCTCCCACTTATTTCCATGGAAACTACAACAGATATAAAGAGCACAATAACATTATTTGATAGAGCAAATTCTCATTTACTAAACACTACTTTTCAACAGTCACCACCATGAGCTGTGCTTTTTTGTCAGCAGTGAACAAGAGGCTACATTCCACACTTGTAAAAATCTGCATGGTTGTTTGTAACATGGATTGTCTTTCACGTCTGTCACCACTGCTGAAATGCACCACCTACTGCCTGCCTTACTGTACTCATATTCATTGTTTGGTCTCCATAGATGTTCAGCAAGCATCAATGAATGTCTGTGAGTGTGCAGTTTCTTCACATGGAGAAATTTAGTCACACACCTTTTCTTCATACACACTTCCATGTCAGACTTCCTCTCCACTACCATCTGTCTCATGGCAACAAAATGTAACGGGATGTGGGTGTGGAAAGTTCAGCCTCTACTGCCATACCATCACCATCCGCCTCTCACATAGTGGGCCAATATACTAAAATAGGAGGCGTTACTTTTGGAGTAGTCTTCTCGCTTTGTTTTCATGCTTTCTGTTGTCTTACCTTCAGACTAAAGATTTTCAGGGCAGGAGCAGGATGTGAATACGTTTTAGTTCATCTGTATAGTGAATTCCTCTTGGATGTCTGACCGTTAATGTTGGAAAAAGGTGGATGGTGTATTTCTATTACTAAATACTAAATAAAATAAAATGAAGGAGAGAGTAAGTGTAGATTTTATCAGATAAAAGGACTGACAAGAAGATTGTGAAAATGTTCTATGTGTGATATGAATTCAAACTGATTGGAATATTTCAACTTCAGAGAACTGTATAACTGAAGGCGAACTTCAGTCAGGGATAATAATGAAATAACTGGCTATTCCCTAGCATTTAAGCAGATCTTGGTGATCTGAATTCTTTTTGCAGAGCAACATTGCTACTGAAAGTAATTATTAGACTTGGAATAATTTCAAAATGAGAAATCAAAAAAGGAATCAAAAGCTTGTGAGTTACAAGTCTGCCTTTCTAGAAGATATATGAATGTTCTTCATTGTATTAAATGTAGGCTTTTAAATTTTATTTGATTTTATTACCATTTCTACAGAAGAAAAAATGCAAAATTGCAATGTTGTGAGGAAAGCTGTTATACAGACTCTTCCTTAGTTTTTTTGAATTGAAATTTTGGAGATTTTACTCTGAATAAGATAAATATGTTTGGAAAAATGACTGCTCTTCTGTTGTCAGAATAGTTGAATGTTTTCTTTTGTGAAACTACTGAATCAGGAAAGCACAAGTTCTACCAGGAACTTCGGTAATGCTCCATCTTAGGATTAGCATACTTTTCTTTATCCTACGGAATATTTCCATACTGTTCCAGAATCCATATTTTGAGAGACATTTAGTGAATATGGTTTACATGAGAATGGACTACCTTCAGTCCATTGACATTTGCTGCATTTATCTTCAGAAAAGGCTAAATGAGTTTCTGTAAGGTAGCTCATTTGTGGAATCTTATATAAAAACAGTGAGTCCTTGAGAGGAAGCAACCCTATTGCAGTGTGATTAAAGGAAAGCATCTGGCATTCGTTAATAATGAAAATAGGACTCAATTATTATGTACTCCCTCATTTGTGGCATCTGTGTACTTGCCTTCTGTAGAATAGGGATATGGGGGTTAACAGATGCCACCTAACAGAACTTAATTCACTTCCTGCCCCTTCTTGTTACTACCTCTTACACCCTTCCAATAAAAACAAACGCAGTCTTAGAACACGTAGAGGTTAGAGCTATTTCAAAAAGAATGAGTTTTGTATATTTGAAAGTCAGACTATAGCAGATGTGAAATGACATTTTGAGAGTTCGTGACAAGACAGACTCACAGTTTCTAGTATGTATCTGCTGCTTCTGTTAATTGTATATTGGCGTTTTCATCCAGAAACATTCAGTTGCCATTCAGGCTTCTTCTATGCAAGCGTATTGCTTAAGCTACAGTCAGTGAGATCTAATTATCCTGCTTTTTGATCTTCACTGCTCTGTTTTTTATGTAATTATTAGTGCAATCTACTGAACTTTTACTAGCTCCCATGGTTTGCCCAATGTATATATTGTAATCAGCATACTATTCTTAAGTTTGATAAATCAACATTTTTAGATTTGTAGCTTTCAATAGATGATATATCACTTAGCTGTTTGTTCATATGTATGGCTACATTAACCCAGGAGCTAATCACCAAACAGCCATTCACTCAGTCCTCTACCTCCTGTGAGATGAGGTATAGAATTAAAAAAAAAGCAAAAAAACAAAAAAACACACAAAATGGAACACTTGGGTTGAGATGAAACCTGAGACAGAAAAGGATGAGAAATTATTTCTACATGTATATGCACACACACACGTATTTACAAAACAAGTCATGTGCAGTGCAGTTGCTGATTACCTGCAGATCAGTCAGTGTCCAGCTGGTCCACAAGTAGAGGCTGTCTCTTTTGGCCAGGCTAGATTCTCACAGTTATGTAGGACTTTTTGCCTGATGGTATGGAATATCCATTTGGCCATTTTAGTTCCCTCCCAGCTCTTTTGCTGGGCTTTATGAGAAGCCTAAAGGTCCTTGGCTCTGTGCAGCACTGCTCAGCAGCAACTAAAACATTGGTGTGTTATCAATGTTTTTTTCCTAAAGCCAAAATATAACACCAGACTCTATGAGGAAAGCCAACTCTTTCTACAGAAACCATGACGTGTACACACAGATACAGATAAATATCTTCAAATCTGTCTTGAGTTGACTATAGAGCGAACTTTCTAAGTTAATATTTAAGCCTAAAGTGTTCAGTCTCTTCAGAACAATCATTACTTTCCATGCTTATCCTAAAATGTTATCTTCATGTAACAGGAAAAGTAATTGAACCTTTTTTCCTACAGATTTGCGTTGTATCTTCACTTACTGTTCTGTGAGAATAACTTTACAACTTGCAGTTTGAATCCTCTTCATTCTTGAAATATTTTCAGTTCCTAGTTGATGTACCTAAGCCCCTCTGTTTCCCCTGTCCTCCATTCTAGTATCATCTCCCCTTTCTTTCATTTAGTGAACAAACAGGACATGTGGTTACTAGTTACAAACCACAAGTATGCTTATTTTGCTGACTGACATACCTTGTCAGTATACCACATACAGCTGGTAGCTAATGTCAGTCAGCTGCCTTCTGGGGAGTACCGGCATGCAAATCTGTTTCTTCTGTCCAGCTGCTATGTTCTTTTTCCAATACCTTACAGATTTAATATTTTTAGTCTCTTACCTGAGTTAAAATTGGACAAGTTAGACTGACACAAGTTAGACAGAACTGTTCAAGTTCTGTTAAAGCTGAAACTTGGCTGGTGGATTGACATCCTACAGGATGTCTTGCTTTCACAGGCAGTCATTATAAAAATGCACCATTTGCTATTGTTCTTAAGAACAAAACAAAATAAAACAACACCTTAATTATTCCTAAACATGTAGTTGTCAAGAAAAGTTGGTCTCAGTAATTAAGGTAATGAATATTTTAACTGTTTTATCTGGAAAAGTTTAAGAGTATTTTTCTTTGCTAATGAATGATCGTTCGTCACAGTCAAATTGTTTTTTGAAGTTTTAGTGATTAATATGTATTCTGCAGTCAGTCTATACATCTGCGTATCTGAAGGTTCTAATATGTATTGTAACTGTTCTATTCAGTTGAGGGGTATGACAGTAAAATAAGGTTAATGTTAGACTTCAGCACAAAATGTGTAAAATGTTTGCATTTATAGAAACTCAGTTCAAGTGATAAACTGATCAGAGTTTTTGTCAGCTGATGCAAAATTCACTGAACTTGTCTTTTTCTGTTGTTGGAAAGAGTGTGAAGTAATATGCTATACTAATACTTACTAATTGCTTTCCTTCACATTTTTTGTTTGGTTATAATTATGTATACCAGCTTATGTAACTCATTCCTTTGCTGAATGTAGTTTTTATTCTTAGGTGATAGGGGAATTTAATATACATTTTGTTGTTTTTCTCAATGTTTATCTCTCCACTTTCTATTTACATTGTAAAGGATGATGCTCGTCAACTCTTTGTGTTAGCTGGAGCAGCAGAGGAAGGATTTATGACTGCAGAGCTTGCTGGTGTTATCAAAAGACTATGGAAAGACAGTGGAGTACAAGCTTGTTTCAACAGATCTAGAGAATACCAGCTTAATGACTCTGCTGCCTAGTAAGTACTATGTGACATACAAGGCTCTCTTTTGTTTTCTAAGTAGCAGCTTAAAGAACTTAAGAGAAATGTAACCTTTTAAATAATTGTAATTTAATAAATATAATTTAAATAATTCTGCTCTCACATAGATGGAAAACCTAGAAACATCTAGCCAAAGATATTGTATACTTGGATCAGAATGCTAGATGCGACTAAAATTCTGAGTTGTTCTCTTTACAACTGTTTTCAAAGTAACTTGGGTTTTAGATGTAGTACAACGTACATTAATTTCCTACAGAGCTATTCAGGGGTGAAAGTGTTAATGCAAAGAACACTGGTAAATGTAGAACCATGTTGAAGTATAGAGCCATGTTTGCTTTCTGGGATTTCAAAATACTAATTCTTTGTAGTAGAATCAATCATATGAGTTTTCTTCTAGAATGAAAGTGTCTCTAAAACTTCATTTTAAAAAAGAAGTGGAAAATTAGATTATTTTCCTCTTAATCTTTTATCTCAGAGAAAATTGTTCATATAAAAGTAATGCGTGGTGTAATGAATAGACCTAGAATTCGTGTAATTTTTTGAAATTATCTAATTACTATTTTATGAATAACTGAATGCAGTATTTATTTTTACCTCCAGTTACTTGAATGATTTGGACAGGATAGCACAAACAAGCTACATTCCAACTCAACAGGATGTTCTCAGGACTAGAGTGAAAACTACAGGAATAGTGGAAACTCACTTTACTTTCAAAGATCTTCATTTTAAGTATGTAAATTGTTCTGTGTGTTCATCTGTCTATTAACAGCTTTTGTAAAGTTCTCATGAATGGACTTACAGTGATTCAATTTAACAAGTTTGTGTAATCATAGCTAATTATTTTATTATTTTTCTTTTTACTGGAAAATTCCTTGCTGCTTGGATTAGTTTTCTGAAAGCATATGGGAATTGTTTGAATTTCTATAACAACTCAGAATAAATACGGCAATATTAAGTAATAAATGTTTTTGTTTTTATTTCAAGCTTTTTGGAAAGTTTATTTTCTGTGTAAATCACATTTTGAAATATTCAGTTTTGTACTATGTTAACATGTAGCTGTTCTATCAGATTTTTCCCTTTAAATTCAGTTGGAGAGCTGGAGATTTAAAAATATTTGTTGCTCTGGTTATGAAACAGCAAATCCTTTTTTCTTGGAGAGCTGAGTTGAAAACTGTACTTTAGGTTTTTTTAAGGTAATACTTTATTTACTGATGTAAATTACTGCAAATAAAGTTTTTTCTGACACAGTTTTTTACCAAATAATGCTAGTATTCTAACCATCTTGTGTCCAAAGACATCCATTCTGAAACTGTAGGGTAGTATAAATGTAACACTCTTGTATCTATTCTTTACTAGGAAAATGGAGTGGAAGCTCAGTAAAATTCTCATTGCATATATACTTTAGATTGTGTGGAGATAGTTGTCAGCACATCTATTCACATTCTGATTTCTAAAAATAACTAATTGAACCTCATCAAATACAATTTAATTTACTTATCTGATACACCAAATCAGTAGGTTTTCTGTCTACCCATGTACATCATGGGTTCCTCCTCTTCCTCCTCTTACAACCTGAGGAAAGCAGAAAATCAAAGAGAAAAGTCAGTTTTTTAATAAATATGAGACTTTCCAGAGCCTCTTATCTTTTGAGATAGGGCGAAAGAGGTTACAAAAAATATTTGTCAAATAAGCCTTCCTCAAGTTTAGGGCCTGGGGAGTAGGGAAGCAATCAACTTGTATAACCTTAAAAGAAAAAAAATAACAAGAAAACAATAACAACAAGAACAAAAAACAAAAACAAGCAGTGAAAGAAATATCAAAAAGTACCTACAGTACCTACTGTCCTTTTGGCCTATATCACATTTTTTTTATGTGTGCTGGAGCTATGTTCTCAGCTTAAATAATAGAAGCAGAACATGTCAAATCTTGCAACACTGGCTTTAAAAAGCATTGTGCTAACTTGTGCTTGCACAAGTCCTTAAATTTGCACAATTGCTGATAAACCATTCAGAAACCAGCCCATACAACTAAGTAACAAAGATAAGTGTGGTGATGACTTGAACAACCATCTGCAGTGCTTTAAGCTTAGTTCAGTGAAGTAATTTGTCTTAATATATTGACAGTCACTATGCGATCTTACCGGAAAATTCTGTATTATTTAAGTAAATGAAATGGAAGTTCTTTAAATCATGTGGATTCAGCTCTTACAAACTTTAATTTTTTCAGTACTGCCTTGTATTTTTTTGTAGTTCACTGTAGACTGTAACTTAATGTTACTGTTATGTTAATGTGCATAAGCAAAATACCTTTTTTTAGAGTAGCCAAATTGCACTGAGATGTTCAGTATTAAGGCAGAGGACAACCTTGCACACCGTACTCCCATATTGCGAGGAGGAATCTGTAAAGCATCCAAGATTCTCATTCTTTCAAAACTCTTTGAAATTTATCTGTATATCAGGCAGCTTCTGTCAGTGTCTTGGTGTGCTGAGACTGTGACTTACCAGATCTCTGTGTTCACAAATAAGGCTTTCATGGTAGTTGCTGGCCAAAGTGGATGGAAAAGCTCTGTCCTCAGTTCTTCTCGTCTGTCTTCTCCTTCCCATGATTTTATACTTACTGAAATTTAAGCTTTTTCGTGGTAATGCCTAAAAAAGTTAAGGTTACTTGGAAAAATTGCTGAAGACAAAAGTCAGGCCTCTATTAAAAGGAATAATTGCATTTCCTTGTAACAACAAGGAAAAATCCAATATTTGCATGGTAAAATACTGGCTACTTTAGCTAAGGAAGGCATATGGTGACCTTTTCACACTGTTTTTAAGCTGAAAGTAATCACAAGAATTTGAGACAAGACTCTTCTTTGTGTGGTAGAAAGGAGACAGATGGAAAAGGGCTGCGTTCTGTTTTGTAGAGAAAATTCAGCTATTTGCATCCATTTTAGGGTAGCACTACTGTCCCCTTATTTGATTGCATTTTGCTGCTGCTGTTTTTGTTGCTTGGTTGTTTTGTTCTGTTTTTCATGACTTAGTTCTTTAAATCCAGAATACTGTTTTTCTGGCTTGCAAAATACTTGAAGTTCAGTTAATTAAGATGTCTAATAAAACATTCAGTCTTTCAGATTCACTGTAGCTCAGATGTTAGGAAATAGTCCTTAAAGCATTTAGATAAGAGATAAAAGCAAATTCATGTGAACTATGCTGACTTGCTGATCCTCTGCTGTTAAGTTCTTGTGTGTGGTCTTTTCCTATCATGTTGTTTCTGATCAGCTAGGAATTGAAAACAAACATCTTTATAGTTTAGTTGTCCCATTTAACTGCATTTCCAAAGAGTTCCTTTATTAGAGGGGAAATTACTAGTCTTGTATGATACCTGTTTTGTCTTTTTAAGAAGAGAATGTTGAAAATAATATTTAGCGTCACTTAAAAATTCTTTTTAAAGGTAGTCAGCTGAAAAGCTGATCAAACTGTGATTTTGTTTAAGAGAGATGAGCTGAAGCTCACAACAATTTAGAGACTAAATTTGAAAAACTGAGAATTATATTTTATGTATTTGGATTTGGATTCAGAACACAGAGACAACAAAAAATATTATTTGAACAAGTTTCATAGAGTAGCATTTTTTTCAAGTACTAAACATAGTGAATTCTGCTCTTACATTTAAAGAATTTAGTATTTTTGACTTTTTATTACTTAGGACTGTTCATTTGGGAAAAATATTGAAGAACTTCATGAAAGCTTTCATTTGGTTAAGTTAACTGTACTTTTACAGGTTATACTTAAGTTTGTTAATGGAATTATTTGTAATAATAGATCTTTTTAAAAAATAAGTAGATTTATATTGCTTTCATATCACTTGGTTAGGTTTTGTGAAATGTAAAGGAAGATTTCTAAGTCCTAAATAACTTGAAGTTGTTTCTTACACTAAGAAATGAAATTGTAATAAATGTTGCAGATTTTATGCTGTTTTTCAAAGTTCAGGCTTGCACAGCTGATGTGTTCAGATTTTATCACTTAATATTCAGAAAGCTGGAAAATCCAAAGTTCATTTCCTGCCTCGTGTTTCTGTTTTGCAGAATGTTTGATGTTGGAGGCCAAAGATCAGAACGGAAGAAGTGGATTCATTGTTTTGAGGGTGTTACAGCAATTATTTTCTGTGTGGCATTAAGTGATTATGACTTGGTCTTGGCTGAAGATGAGGAAATGGCAAGTACCTTAATGTTAAAGAAAGGAATAGTTGTTAGGAACTAAGCGTTTTGCAAGGGAAGCTAAATGCCTCTTTCACAGTAAGAAGCTAAATACTTCTTTGATAGGGTACATGGGCTTTTTTGTAGAAGTTTTCAGAGAACTGGTGATAGATTTTGTGCTTTCAAGCTTCAGAAATAATTTCTTTATTCTTGGGAGTACTTTGAGATGAGTACTCTTCTGATGTATTCTTTCATATATTTCAAATTATACCTAAGCTAATGAGGATGTCAGTAATAATGTCCTTGTCTCTATGGATACTCAAAGTATCAAAGAAGTTGGTTTGCTTATCTGTCTCTGTGTTTTGTTACCCTTCCTCAGTCTTCAGTTTTTTGTGTCTTTATAAATATTTTACTCCAACCTCTTTCCTTAGTTATACAAATCTTTCTTTTCTCTCTCTTCAAATTCCTTTCTGTCCTTTCTCTTCTTTCAAGATGTGACTCCTCCCACGTCAGTACATACAGTGTGTGTGCTTTTCATTTTCTGGGTAGTCTAAAGCGATGCTGATCTGTTGTATGAATCGTTAACAAGTTTCTGTTATTCCTAATGTTCTGCAGATTCGTGTAAAATAGTTGGAAGGAAAGAAAAACAAAAACAGGGAAGAAAAACACTTTCGAGTTAAATCTAGTCAAAATAGATCATACCTGCCATCTACTTAAGTGTCTGGAAGTAGTGGCAGAGCACTTACATATTTGATAATTTTTCTACAGCGTCAAAATTGGGGTAACTTTTTTTTTTTTCTATTGAAACCCAACAGCTTTTTCATTTAATTCTCTACTTCTATAGAACTACTGATTTTTCATTATATTGGAATCTTGACTGTGTACTGAAGTTCATTGTCAGTTTTCAGAGTATCTGATAAATATCAGGCAATTTCTGATCACTCAGAGAGTTTTCTAGAATATCATTATTGCAAAATGTGAAAATGCACCAAAATTTTCTAACAAACTAAAAAAGACTTAAGCCTGGAAATGGAGAAATGGCCTTCAAGATCATCAAGTCCATTAAATTTTATTTGGCCTCTGTATATATCTCTGTGGTAATATGTGATTCTGCATACTGGAAACTTAAGTTTTTAAACTTTTCTAGTTGTAACTAATCAAATAGATTTATCCTGGTTTTACTTCTAAACTCTGATAAAATACAATAAAGTCTGTCTGTTTGTTTGTTTGTTTGTTTGTTTGTTTTTCACCCAAATTACAGAATCGGATGCATGAAAGCATGAAATTGTTTGACAGCATCTGCAACAACAAATGGTTTACAGACACTTCTATAATTCTTTTCCTGAACAAGAAAGATCTTTTTGAAGAAAAAATCAAGAGGAGTCCTCTCACTATTTGCTACCCTGAATATGCAGGTATTGGAAATGGACAAGTGTCAAGTAATTTGGGATTAAATTTATCTTATTTTTGATTAACAAATTCAGAGGAATTTGATAACTGTAGGTGTACAAAATATAAAAATAAAGTTTAATTTCCTAGGAAGATCTTAGGAATCACAAATAAAGGAGTACTGAAGTCACATTAATCTTCTTAATGAGATTAAATGATGGTGATCCACTGATAGTGCTAAGATGTTACTGTCATCGTGCTTGTCAACCTACTCTGGTTAGCATGTTCTTTATTCTGTATTCTATTCTTTTCTGCTCAGATGTATTTTTTTTTTTTCCCCTAGCAGGAATCCCTGAGGATACATGAGAGTTTGTTTGAAGGGAGCATATATACATAGATGTTAGAAGAGGTGGCTTGTTCAGGAAATAAATAACAAAAAACAATTTTGTTTAAGAGGGCTAAGGCCTTTTGTGTATCATTTTCGTTGTAATTTCAGACTGTTCTTTGTCTGAGGAAAAGAAAAACTGTCAAAAACATGAGAAGTGAAAGGGAGTAACTTGAATGAAGGAATCAAATATAGTCTGTGTAATAGTGATAAGTTGTTAATGAGACTTGGTCCATCTACCACTCTTACAAGTATTCTTCCTAGAGCGCTCTTTATTATTAAAAATTTGTCCAGGTTTCCTTCAACAAGATATACATGGTGTATTGTAAAGTAGTGTCTGTGAAATTATTTAAATCAACAAACTCCTTTTTAGGTTTTAGTGATTGTTGCAGAGTAAGTACTTCCTTCTAAGATACAATATACATTTAGTTTTTAGTTTAGTTTTTGAAATCTGCTTACTGAGCAATTTTCTCCTTCTAGGTTCAAACACTTACGAAGAAGCAGCTGCTTACATTCAGTGTCAGTTTGAAGATCTTAACAAGAGAAAAGACACAAAAGAAATCTACACTCACTTCACATGTGCCACAGATACGAAAAATGTGCAGTTTGTTTTTGATGCTGTAACTGATGTCATTATTAAAAATAACCTTAAAGACTGTGGCCTCTTCTGAGAACAGACAAGACATTATTAAATGGTAAATTATGTGCCTGAAAAAAGGACTTAGGCATTTGGAATAAGCCCATGTTGTGTGAAACTTGCATAGATATACTTAATTCTCTTTATTTTATTTTTAGGTTTGAAGAATGGCTTCACACAATTCTAATCTGATTGATTTCAAGATGAAAGATATACAAAATATGTTGTGCTGAATGATAGATCAGTACTGTACTTGCCTGTTTTAACAGCTTTATTTATGTTTGTCTTGTAAATTTAAGTAATTAGGTAACACTGAGATGTCTTTTGACTGTATGTAAACTTGTAGTAATGTATTTGTATAAACGTTGAATGGAATACTTTGGTAACTTGTCCTCTAAAATTTCTGTGGTTTATGAAGATACTCTTAGAGGAGACTTTCTGCCTTTTGGTTATTTAAACATCTTGTAAAATTAAATTTTCTTTTCATCTAGAGGGTGCATGCTACTTTATTCTTTACTTTTTGTTGGTAATACTGTATATGGCACTAGCTTTTTTGATATTTAAACAGCTTCATACACCTGCTCAGATTTAAAGAAACATAACTAATAAAACTTGGGGTTTTTTTTGCCTTAAGTTTTGGGAAAAAATATTTTTAAATTTAGGTTGAATACAAAAATTATTTTTAAAACTTAAGTGAAATCCACAGCTTATGAAATCTGGATTTTCAGTCTTTGAAGTGCAAATGTGACTATATTGAAAAACTGAATTTGAAGGTTGAAATATCATTGAAGCTCATGGAAATGCAAAAAGGAAGTTGTTAAAAACACGCTTGTAGAAATAAAAAGAAAGTTTGAAACTAATCTTTACTCACTGGAGTGAATGGCAATTTTTTTTAGACCTTTAACAAAGGCTGGACTTCCAATTAATCTGATTTCTTTCTGCTTAATAATTGAAATGATGTTATCCTTTAACTCTTTGCTATCTTGTGGTAATAAAGCTAAAACTAATTTGCTAATTTAATAACCATAGAGGTATTAGGTTCTCCCACAAGACACGGCTCAGTGTTTTCATAGTTTAAAGCAGTTTACTGTTGTTTTTTAAAAAGAATCTTCAGTATGTTGGGTAGGGTGACTTTGTGACTTGGAAGATGCTGATTCTTTAATTTAGTTATGTTTAAAATCTCGTACTTTCATTTAAAAATATGTTAAAGAATATGATTTTTCTTCTGGTTATGCTTTCATTACGTGATTTGGGATTTTAGGTATATATCATCCATTGCCTTATGGTTAGTGCCAAAACTGATTTTTATACCTATTTTAAAACGAATAAGCTTCTATTTGTAAATAAGTTCTTGGATGGTTGTCTTAAATGTATGTCTTCTACATAATACAGGCGTACCAAACTTGGAAATATGATTTTCTATAATTGTTAGTATATTCCAGGCAGCTACAGTACACTGTAAGTTTTTTGAGAATGATTCTTTGAATCTGTTGCTATTTTTCTATATTATCTTAGCTTACTGTTCTTAGAAGCTTTCAACCAAGGTATTCAAATCATTGTTCTGTTATTTAATTTTTTATTGCGTGAATGTTTCATTAGGCCTTAGCTTGATTGATAGCTTCAATGCTTCCTTTGTTAGGTACAGAATTACTTAAACGTCTTTCAAATGAAAGTTTAGAAAGGAGTTTCTAATTTATTACTGGAGGTTGTTAAATATATTCATACATTATGAGCTCTTTCAGCAGTTGTAGTAAACAATCTGTATATCCTGGGCTGCTTTTAATTGTGCTTTACAGTTCTGGATACATAACTGATTTTAAATTTCATTGAATAACTTTGTGAAAATTGTATTTACACCTACGTTAAACTTGGTTTTTGTACTTGATGTAAAACAGAAATTGGGATTAATCAAATTACATAAATAAATTTAAATTTTGTGCCTTGCTTGAAAGAAATTTTCTTCCTTAGACGTGGTGCATCCATCCTGTAGACACAACTACATAGTAAAACAGAGAAGATAAAAAGTCAAGAGCCAATTCAAATCTTTTATGCCAGAAACAAAAATGAGCATAAACTTAAAACTGTTAGCTAATTCCTAAATGTTTTTCCTCAACCACCAATCCTAGCATCTTCGATTTCAGATTTTTAGAATTTCCTAACTGTTGATTTCTTTAATATTAACATCTTAGCACAGAACAAAATTGTGAAATAGTTTTGTTTTAAGTCCAGGAATAACTTTTATATAACTTTTTAAATTTTATAACTTGATGAGTTGACACCTGCTATGTTTCCTTATAGATGCCCTATAGTGGTCCTTTGTTTAGGTTTATAAATTGCCTGTATAAAAACTTTTCATATTAAAAGCCCAGTAAATCACTGATCGCATCTGTCCAAACTTTCCAAAACTGGGTTGCTGATAAAAATTAATTTGTTATGAAGGGGTTTTCAGCTTAAGTGTATTAAAAATACTATGCTAAAAAAGTGTTTTTAATTTTTTTTTAAAATATTCTAAGAATTATCTATACTGATAGCAAGCACTTTGCTTTTCTTCTCAATTTGAATACCTTCATCTTTGAGCCAAATGAGTTCTGCTAATTTTGTTACCTAATAAGACTGCTAATATAAATCCCTTCTTCTTTTCAGGTTGTAATTAGATGATAATTAGATAATTCTAATATGAATTTTTCCAGACTTTCGACTGATATATATATATGACTTTGCCTGAATTTATGAATTTTAGTTATATAATTCTTTAGTGTAAGTGCATGGTGCAGTGGACTGATCTACCGTGATCAAAAGTTTCTGAGGATCTTGTGTAACAGAGTTGATCATTCTTTTTTGTCCTGGGACGAAAGTTTGTCATCTTAACCTACTTGTCTAGGCAAAGCTACAAGAAGGCTAAAATGCAGTGGTGGGCGCTACATGCTTAGCTTCCAGTCTAATTGTTATATTGTTATATTGTTATAGGGCTCCACTCCATCTCTGCTTGATCAAGAGGCTCCTTCTCAGTTATAAGTAGCCAAAGATGAGGAAATCCTGCTAGTCTGGGGACAGTCTTGTGCTTCAGCAGTCTGAGCCTCTGTTCTCTTCCAGTTCTTCATTCCTTGCATTTTTTCTACTCAGAGTATCCTGACAAACGACTTTTTCTAGCAGTACCCAGGGAACCTCCTTCTACTATCTCAGAATATTTCTTAAAATTATCTTAAATTATTCTCAACACGTATAGGAAACTGCAGCCTGATGGAGGGTTCTCTAACGCCAGGATCTTGTGATCACATTGTGAATTGTTGAAGTCTCAGTAAAACATTTCTTTTTAAGGCATTTCTTTTTAAGAAGGTCATTTGTGAGGGAGTGGGATTTTGAACATTTGGTATGTGGCTTTATGATGCTACCTACTGAATTTGGAATAAGTTTGTCAGCAAATATAATAACTTTGGTAACCAAAACAGGGTTCAGTGTTAGCATGGAAACAGAGTAGTGTTTGCTGAATTTCAGTTCCTGTTTCCACGTACACAATTAACATCTTCATTATTTAAATTCTACATAAAACCTGAGGGGGGGAAAAAGATCAATCTGCAGCCTGCTGAACAGCATGATTCAGCTGGTAAGCATTTAGAATTGGGAAAAGTGAAGAAAGTTTCTTTTTCAAATCAAGCAAAAAGGAAACCCTACCAAGACACTGACTATCCTACTGTGTGGAAGTCTCTTGAAGCTATTGTATCTCATATGAATAATTAATAGCCTCTGAGTCAAAGAGTAATAATAAAGTTGAAAATTTCAATTCCATACCTCTTTCATTTCAACAAAATGTTGCAACAAGAAGTTGTAAAAAGCTCATCCTTGGATAGCTCAGAGCTTGTGAGAGTGCACTCACAAGGAAGATGAGATTGGATGTTGAGCAACTTACTTACCAGACATTACCTATAGCAGAGTGTGTCTGCATTTTTCACAAAAAAACTCAGTTGATGTTATGGGCTCTGAAAAACAGAAATCAAGTTGCAGAAGTGGAAAACAGTATTTCCAGCTCTGCATCTACAGGGTACTTGAAAAGCAGCTTCTTTGACAGGCAGAATAAAAGATGATTAAGACCAAGTATGTTGTCGGCAGAAGTCACTGCAGCCCCACAAAACTAGCTGTTCCCAGCTCACTTCTTTATTCTCCTTCCTTTCTGTCCATTAATAGAGAATTTTGGGAAGGAGTTTTGCTTTCATGCTCATGCATTGGTCATGGGAAGACTGTGCATAATGACTGTGGAATGTGCAACAGTACTGAAGGAATACAGTGAATGATCGGTGTGTTTAAAACTGCACATATGTGTATTTTCAAAAGCATGAACAAAAGTCTAGGAAACAAACCTGAGCAAGACAAGGATTTCTGAGTGTAATTTAGTTTCTGAAGTCAGACACAGCCAGATCAGATGATTGTGCAGTGTGACACAGCCCATACCTTTTACAAATAAGTGTCCTTATAACAATATAGTTTTAATCCTGCATTCTAGTAAACATGTTAATGGTAAAGAAAATACATAATTTGTTAGATACTACACATGGAAACGTGAGTGCATTTGGTTGAGTTCTAAAGTGGCTTCTAGACTCTGCCAGTATCTTTCCTAGCCAAGTTATGTTGCTTTGGCTTAAATGTCTTCAGCTTAATTCTCTATGAAATTGTCAGACTTTGGATTTCTGACTCTAAAGGATGGAAGAAAGTCATAAACTATATCATCTGCTGAGACTAAGAGAACATTTTCAAGATGCAGTCATTGAGGCATAAAAGACTGGGGTTCTGAGAGCTGTAAGGAAAGTACTCTGTGATGAACTTCACAGCTGTATCCAATATTTGGAGAAAGCAGCTTTGGGAGAATGATGTGGCATAAAGTTGCATCTGCTTTTGTTGAGTGGAGCTCTGAGTGTGAGGGGATAGGCTGAGGTATGTAGAGTTATGTACCTGTTTCCCAGATGAGATTGTCAGATGCATGTGCTTTAAAGCCAAGGAAGCTGATCTTATAAACACTGAAGAAGTGCCCCTTTCTGCATTGCGCTCTAACGTTCAGGGCATTTTTGAGCCTGAAAAGTTTTGAGCTGCCCGCTACATGTGAGGGAAGTGTCACTGCTGGCACTGATACTTGTTTAGGGCTTCTCTCCAGCTTGCCAGAACTGTGCAGTCAGGAACAAAGAGCAACTCAGCAAAAAGCAGTACAGAGAGGGCATAAGAGGCCCTTTCATCTGCTGCAGGGGAAGCGAGAGGACACTCCCCAGATAAGTGAGCGGAGATTGTGGGGGGAGCTGCTCTTGTGATTCTTGATGAGTCTTTGCTCCCAAGGCTTAATGCAATTTTACAGGAAGTGATGGCAGCAGGAGAAAGTTGGTGTTTTATACACTGTATCTTGGAACATTATGTCCTATCCGGATTCTTAGCCCTTGAAGATCAGTTTTCTTCTAGCTAACAGAAAGTAAATTGCTGATGCTGTATAGTGTGCTAGTCTTACAAAAGTTTTTTTCACAACCAGAATTTTTAGTGGTATAGAATTACAAAGATGATCTAAATGATAAATTCAAAGGCTGTTAAATGAGTTGTATAACATTCTAATATTTAAAGTGTGGAGATAAGTGAAATACAGTATCTTATCCCTCATTTTTCCCCCACTAATTCTGTGAAAGGAGGGTTAGTGGAGCACTCAGAGGCCTCAGTGTGAGCATTCCTGAGACCAGTGCTGAAATACAGTGCTACCAGGGGCTGTAATGGAAGCTGAGAGAAAAATTTATGTTTTCTGTGGAGTTGCAGTTCTTGAGGAAGTTCATGGCCCTTTGTTGCAGTCTGGTGACTCGTCTGCTGGCATATGGTTATGGGTTCTCTCAGCCTTTAACAAAAGCAGGGTAGTTCATTGTGTTTTAAACAGTGGAA